GCCGAGCTCTCTGTTGTGGCAGATGCAGGGCAGAGGGGAGCTCACTGTCTGGAGAACGCACTGTCCCCCCGAGGGGGTCTGTGGGACTGGGTTGATGGAGCACAGCTGGTGGGGAGAACTTCTGCTGACGTCAGGTCATTAATTCCACAGGGTCAGGTTTGTCGCCTTTTTTACATTAACAGTGGGGCCGAGAGAGCTTGAGGTGTGTAGGTTACAAGGCTTATTTTCCAGAGAGTTCCCTGTGTAGCGGAGACCAGCCTCCAATTAGGTGAGCCTCAGGATGGTTACCTGATGGGGCAAAGAGACTACGCAGGTATGATTAAGGTTAAGGATCTTGAGATCAGGGGTGACTGGGTGGTGTGGTAGATTAAGCATCTGACTCTTGGTTTTGGCTCAGGTCATGATCTCAGGGTGGAGAGATTGAGCCCCACCTCGGGTTCCATGCCCAGCGGGGAGTCTGCTTGAGATTCTCTCTCTCTCCCACTGCCTCTGCCCTCCCCCACCATGTGCTCTCTCTCCCTCTCTCAAAAGAATAAATTTTTTAAAAAAAAAGTCTTGAGATCAGAGATGATCTTGGATTATCCAAGTGAGCCCAGGGTAATCACCAGGTCCCCATACTGGGGAAGAGGGAGGATCTGAGAGAGGTTGGAAGATAGCACAGTGTGGGCTTGGGAGACAGAGGAAGGAGCCACAGGCCAATGTGGGCGCCTTTGGAAGCCAGAAGAGGCAGCAGCGCAGTGAACACCTGGCTGGCAGCCCTTGGAGACCCATGTCAGACCTCCGACCTCTGGGTCTGGAAGAGAATAAATGTGTGTCATCATTCGTGGCAACTCGCTAAGGCCACCATAGGAAACTAACACAGGGACACCAACTATGTGCAGGGGAGCAGAGCACGGGAAGCAGCGCAGGGTGGAAGGGTGCTGGGTGGAGAGCCGGTGGACCGCAGTGGCCCTGGGCAGGGTGGTGGCGGCAGGGCCATGTGCCCTGCTCTCTGGGGCTGTTCTCTCTTCCCCGCCCAGAAGCTCTGCCCAGTGTCCTCCTTTTCCCCAGTGATTTGATGCAAATACCCAGAGAGACCGGCCCTACCCCAGAGAGAGGTGAGGGGGGCACAGGTCTCGCCCCAAACCGCAGCGGGTCCCCCACACAGTAGAGTGGAGGGAGGGCCTCTGCCCAGAAACCCAGCAGGGCCCTGGCTGGGGGAGAGGGATGGAGAGGCGGCCACGGGCAGAGGACTGGAACGTGGGTTAACTCTGGGGGGTCCAGCAGGTCCAGGGGAGGCAGCTGCAGACCAAGTCCAGGTGCATGGGGAGTCCTGGCCTGAGCCCCCAGCTAAGATACTACCAGCAGAGTTTCTGGGGCCTCACCACAGTCCTGCTTCTGCCGTGGGCTGCCAGAGGAAGACCCTAGAGAAGGGCAGGCTGTGGAGTGCCCGGAGCGCCGGCTGTGGTGGGGGCTGGGGGGAGAGGAACCCACTGCCCTCCATGAACCCCACAGGTGGCAGGTGGACGTGTGGGCCATCAGGAGAGGCCAGAGAGGCCGTTAGCCAACGTAGGAGTGACAGCCCTTGAGCTGAGAGAGGCCATCATTCAGCAGCAGCAGCCGGGTTTTTATTAGGCACCACTGTATGCCATACCTATGCAATGCTCTTGGAACCCCATGAGGAGAATAAGTGGATCTGGTCCCGCCTTCTGGAACTTCCAGGCCACTGGGGAAGCAGACAGGAGGAGCTGTGTCTCAAAACGGGAGGCCGCGGGGCGAGGATGGGGCACACAGGAGGGAGGGCTCCAGGGGAAGGCCCTGGACTCAGAGGCTCCACCGCCCGCCCAGCCGCACCAGCCGCTCAGCCCCCCTCGGGCTGCCTATGCCTGATGAGGCTGTGACCCATCCCATCTGCGTCACCAGCTTGGGGCCAAGAGGGGGTCCCGGCTCGCTTCTTTAAGTTCTTAATTGTACTTCTCATAGGATGCATGTCAATTGGTCTCCTCACTTGTGTTCGTCCTGATGGCTACTCACACGCACTAAACATGTTCATTGAACTCAACGTCTTAATTTAATATACGGCTAAACCGTGATAGACGTGTAAGAAGGGACACACATACACACGCAGTGCTGGCAGGATCTTCATGCCGTGAGCATGCCCCTGTGGGCAGCGGCCCCCCAGGCTGGGCCCCGGCCGATCCCGAGATCCCCAGGGGCCCTGCTGTCTCTACACCCCCAGGTTGTGATAGCTGGCGGGTCCCCACCAGATAAAGGGCAGAGCTGTGTCGTGGATGAAGTGTCGGGCTTCTCTGAGCGAGCCCAGAGAGGCTGCGCTTCTCGGCCGAGCAGGTGCTCTGCGGAGGCTGCTGGGATGTGGGTGGCCAAGCACAGAGCTGCCCGAAAGTAGCCTCCCTGCGTCGATCCCAATGGTTCACGTTCCCCCCACACATGCTCCCTGTCTTCGTCCCTCCCTGCGCCCCTCTGGCCTCTTTTTCTCCTCCCTGCTCTCATCCCCCTACTGGAGTGTGGACCCGTCTGTCTTGCTCGCCGCTGTATCCAGAGTCTGGAACCCGGGAACCTAATCCATGCACCCTTCAAACTTATTTGTCGGAAGAATGGGGGAGTGAAGTGGCACCCGATTTGCTCCCCTGGGGTCCAAGACTTCCTGGGGACCGTGATCTTGACATTAACAAGCCCCAGCATGGAGTCCGAGCCCGGAGTCGGGGTGACTGCATGTAGAGCGAGACGCTCTCAACCCTGACTCCACCATGAACTTGCCATGTAACCTTGACCTCTGCTTACCCATCTGTGAAATGGGGATACAGTGGTCCCTCCAACAGGAGAGCTAAGTAGTGAGTCTTGAAATCTCTTGCACACCCCCTGGGTGTGGCCGGACCTCCGTGCTGGTGGTAATAAGGACTCGGGAAGTGTGTGCAGAAGGAGAGCGAAACTGTTCACTGTTCATTCTCCCTGGTGCCATCCAAAACACACACCGTGGGCCTAACAGATGCGGGGGCCAGCCCTGGAGACATCAGCCTCCGGGGAGTTCTGGAAGGGCCCAGAAGACCTGGAGCAGGAAAGGTCTCCTTGTGGCTGTATGGAGGGTCACCCCCTCCTTTGAGCAGCCCACGTCCCCTCCCCCAGCCTGGAACCTGGAGCCTTTACTCCGACCTCTGGAGTGCGAACGTGCGCCCATCCTTGTATGTGAGGCTTGGGAGTTAAAATCACTCTTCTGCGGAGCGCGTCCCTGTGCCCCAGGAGCTCTGAAGTGCTCGTACCCATCGACTCAGAAGCTCCCTGCCCGGGAGTCTGCGGCAATGAAGACAAATGCACATAGAAGCACATATGTACGCCCAAGGGCAGGGATAGCTAGGGTCTCGATCGGTGCGTTATTTTTAAAATTTTTTTTATTATTAACATACAATATATTATTTGCTTCAGGGGTACAGTCTGTGAGTCATCAGTCCTACACAATTCACAGAGTTCACCATAGCACATACCCTCCCCAGTGTCCATAACCCAGCCACCCCCTCCCTCCCGCCCACCTCCCCTCCAGCAGCCCTCAGTTTGTTTCCTGAGATTAAGAGTCTTATGGTTTGTCTCCCTCTCTGGTTTCATCTTGCTTCATTTTTTCCTCTCTTCCCCTGTGATCCTCTGTCTTTTTTCTTAAATTTCACCTATCAGGGAAATCATATGATAATTGTCTTTCTCTAACTGACTTATTTCACTCAGCATAATACCCTCTAATTCCATCCACGTCATTGCAAATGGCAAGATTTCATTTCTTTTGATGGCTGCATAGTATTCCATTGTATATATACACACCACATCTTCTTTATCCAATTATCTGTTGATGGACATTTAAGTTCTTACCACAGTTTGGCTATTGTGGACATTGCTGCTATAAACATTCGGGTGCACATGCCCCTTTTTTCACTACATTTGTGTCTTTGGGGTAAATACCCAGTAGTGCGATTGCTGGGTCATAGGGTAGCTCTATTTTCAACTTTTTGAGGAATCTCCATGCTGTTTTCCAGAGTGGCTGCACCAGCTTGCCCTCCCACCGACAGTGTAGGAGGGTTCCCCTTTCTCCGCATCCTGGCCAGCATCTGCCATTTCCTGACTTGTTAATTAGCCATTCTGACTGCTTTATTTATTTATTTATTTACTTACTTACTTACTTATTTAATTTTTTTCAAGATTTTATTTATTTATTTGACAGAAAGAGACACAGCGAGAGAGGAAACACAAACAGAGGGAGTGGGAAAAAGAGAAGCAGGCTTCCTGCCAAGCAGGGAGCCTGATGCGGGGCTTGATCACAGGACCTTGGGATCATGACCTGAGCGGAAGGCAGATGCTTAACGACTGAGCCACCTAGGCACCCCTGACTGCATTATTTATAAAAGCAAAACAAAACAAAACAAAACAAAACAAAATTCCTGAATCTCCAGTTTTAGGGGATGGTTAAATTGGGGTTTTATTTGTGGTTGAATAGTATACAATGGGTAAAATGGTGTTCTGATGGAATTTTTATACAGAATCTTATATAAAACCACGTGTTTAAACATGTTTTCTCTCCGTCTCTCTCACACACACATATGGACTCACACTGAAAAAAGTGCAAAAGAGAAATATCACCGTGTTAGCAGCCATTATCCTAAAGCAGCGAGGCTGATTCTCACTTTTTCTTTTTCCTCTTTTCTCTTTCCTTAATGGTCTGTGTTGAGTATCACGACTTTGCAAAGAGAAGAGGAAGGAAGCTGGTGTGGAGGGACTGCCCACAGCTGTGGACGAGCTGTGTGCCTTAACAGTTCTATCTGCGAAATGGGCACGAGGGCGTCTTCCTCCAAGCATTACCATCTCTATGACCTTTTGTAGCAGCACCATCCATTGATAACAAACAGGAGGAGAGCCCGTGAGATGCTGTGTCCCAGCACCCAGTGGCTTGACCAGACCATACCAGACCAGGCTCCTCTCCAGCCCCGAGTGCCCAGATTAATTCTCTCTCTCCCTCTCCGCAGCTGCCCATGATGGGAGGCGCCTTCATGGACTCGCCCAACGAAGACTTCAGCACGGAGTACTCCCTCTTTAACTCTTCCACCAACGTCCACGCGGCCTCCAGTGGCCAGGGCCAGCTGGAGGAGTCTCCGCGGTCCTCCAACGACGCGGTCCTGCTCTGGATTGCCATCATAGCGACCCTGGGGAACATTGTGGTGGTTGGGGTGGTGTATGCCTTCACCTTCTGAGGTACGCGGCGCCCACCAGCTCCGAGCCGGCTCAGCCCGCGCTGGGCTCACAGCAGGGCCAGGCTTTGCTGGGGACACTGGTGCTGTTGGCCTTTGGCTGGTCCTACCTTCTGGAACCAGGAGCTCTGACCGCGCGCATGGCCTCTCCGGGGGCAGCGACCGTGCATCAGGAGTTCCCCCAAGCAGCCCCGATTTCCAGTGTTCTGGGCTGTGATCAAGCTGATCCAGAAGACATGGGCGTGTGAGCCTCCGGCCCCTGGAGGCGCGATGGGGCAAAGCCTTTGCAAGGAGCCAAGTGGGGACTTTTTGAACCTATATTCCAAGAACGTAAGACCAGAGGAAATAGCCGGTTAGGTGTGAAATATGGACATGGTGGGACGATCCCTTGCTGGCAGTAAATAATCACGTATGTGTCTTGTTTTTATGCCAAGCTGCTGCACCTGGTGTGTGGGGTGCCCGGCAGGAGCAGCCGTCGGAACTGGAGTGTTTCCAGCCCAGCCGTGGTCTCCCACTCAGCCCTTTGGAATACGGGTGGTGTGACCTGGGCCATAGAATGTTCTTTGTTTGATGTGGACAGGGCACCTTCGTCACCAGACACTTGGCCCCTTTTGAGACCCAGATGGATGAGGAAATCCAAGGACAGGGGGTGACTGGTGATGGGGTAGGATTTCCAGGGGTGGGGGGCTCTCGGCCGAACAGACCTGCTCTTCTTTTTCAAAAGAGAAGAAGGACCTTCAGACTAGAGTTGGGCAGAGCGGTCGAGTTCAGACCAGCCGCCAGCAGATGCTCTTTCCTCTCTGAGAACTTAGGGATTTTAGAGATGGCGGCCTCACGCCCACCTGATCTTCTGACAGCCGGAGGGAGAGGCACGATTTGCCTGATTTGCCAGTTCACAGGGCACGTGACTGGCACTTTCGGAGCAGGGGGACGGGCCCCAGTGAAGCACTCTCTTAAGCAAATCCCTGCTTCTCAGCTGCTCTCTCGGAGAATGCCCAGAGGGTCTGGAAGCTGTTTGGGGTCGGGAGGTGCACAGGGTGCTCAGACACCTGCATTTTACACTGGGTCTGGCTCCACGTTCTCTTGCAGACCTGGATGTGCTCTGTCCGAGTCAGCCTCCTTAACCTTCCTCCAAGTCAGTGGCTTGACGGGGGGCGGGGGGGGTTGGGGGAGTGGGGGTGGTTTCTGGCCAGCAAGGGAGACTCCCGTGCAGACCAGCCCAGGATGGCATGCCCTGGGGGAGGGGGCAGCATGGGGAAGGACTTGCTCTACTTCTGTCCTTAGGAAAGGCTTCCACCCGGTAGCCCCCTTCCCCAGATAGCTGCCCTGTGCCGAGCAGAGTGGGGGAAGCTTACATGCAGCCTCCCTCGCTGGCGGGCCAGGAGCAGTGCTGTCCTTGCTTTCTCCCCGTGCTGTGCAAAAGAAAATAAATGGTCCAAACTTCCCCTCTGTGGTGGGGAAACTTAAAAGACTGGGTGGGAAGCCCTGGTGCTGTCTGGGGACAATTGCAAAAAGGTGTACTATGTCCCTGTGGTCTCGGGAGACATGGCTGTTCCTAATGACAGGCAAAGGGACATCTTAATTGTCCTGAGGCAGCCACTCGTCTGCGGGCTTGGTGCTGAGCTGCTGCGAAAACAGGATTAGCAGCCCAACCCCCAGACCGCACCTGCAGATGGCCGCCACCTCCTAGTAGTCATGTCTGTCCCTGCAGCCGTGCACGCATCCACCCACGAAGGCTTCAGCTCCAGTGGAGGCCATGAGTGCAGAGCTGGCGTGACCTTTGCAGAGAGGGAGAAGGGATGGGGGACCTTCGGCCTGGGCTCCTTCTGGAATCACTGACAGGGCTGTGCTCTCGGCAGGACGAGTGGTCAGGGTGGCAGGGTCAGGGTGGCAGGGACAGGGGCTGGGCTGGGCTAGGTGGTCAGCCATTGCGTGCTGGTCATCCCAGATGCTTCTCGAGCAAACTCTTCCCTGTCTCAAGCCCCCCACGTGCGCCCCATGAGCGAGGGCTTTCTGAGACAGGTGTCCTCATGAGAACTCAAGGAGGAGGTCCAGAGCTGGGGTAGAAAGGGACCAAGGTGATGCTTGGCGTCTTTGTGGGGGTCAGTGCAGCCCAGATATTCTGAGTCCTTACCTTCTGACCCTACATCCCCAAAGGAGCCCCGTAGAGAGGCGGGTGACCACTCTCTGCTCTGCAAATGGCTTGCGGTGATGGCCGTCCGGGCTCTGGGGCTTCTGTGTGCTGTGACCAGGGAGGGGTGGAGCCTGTGGTCCCGGCTCAGAGCAGCTAGGCCAGCCCTAGCGGGCCAGGGGTTCTCTGGGAAATTCTGGGCACAGGGGGTCTCCCCCATGAAGGCTTTCTTTTCCCCTGGCATAAAGGCCAGTTAAATTCAACTTTCAAGGATTCTCCCTCTTGGGTCAGGGCCGCAGACACACAGCCTGGAGCTTAAGGCCCAGCTTGTCCAAACTCGGCATTGGGCGATTCTAGTGACCTGCTCAGGGTCACTCCCTCCCGGTCTCCTACAGTGTTTTGATCTGGTTTTTCCCCCCATCACCTGGATGACAGCGAGGATAGACGTCCCCTGAAGGGTAAAGGACGGGTTTCCAGCCAGAGGGGGCGCTGTGCTGTCCCTCCTGCCTTCCTCAGCTGAGCTCTGTCGTGGACGTTAGGTAACCGGCAGGAGGCGCTGTCCGAGCCTTGCGTCCAGGCGCCAAGCTAGACCCGCGCGCGCACGTTTAATCCGTACGATTACCTTACAGCATCGTTGCTCCTATACGTGGAGAACCAGAAGCTCAGAGGAGCAGAGTAACTTGCCCAGGGCCACACAGTGTGAATGTGACAAGCTGGGACTTGAGGCTGGACCCTCCACCTCTAGCAGCAGCCTCTTTCTGCCACTCCGTGCCACCTTCAGTGGCTGGGGTGGCACCTCCAGGCCTCATTTAAGCCAGGCTCTGGGTCTACAGAGGCCATTCCCCAAGGTCCCATGTCATGGTGTGACCCGGGGCCAGGTCTGGCTTCCTCCACAGGCAGAAGTCTAACCGTCCTCAGAATGCGGCACGCTCGTCCCCCTGCCCGTTGGCCCGTCTCTGTCCAAGCTTCAAGGATGGTGGTCCCTGTCACCTGCCCCTCTCTTTAAAGCTGAGCACAAGTGGTTTTTTGTGGCCAGAAATGTAACCAGAAAGCAGATTTCTTGGGACACGTGCAGAAGACCCCCGGCTCCGACCCGGAGCCCAACAGAGGGGCCTACATGAGAAGTGAGGCTCGCGCAGCCGGATTGCCGAGGACAGTCAGGACGGTCCGTGTGGTGGGTGAGGCTCCAGCCCAGACTCAGGCATCCTGTTGAGCCCGGACTTTCCCAGCAGGCAGGACGGTGTTCCTCTCGCAAACCCCAGCCTGAGGCTCCCATCCGGCTTCTCCTGGGTGAGGTTGGCCCAGAGCCCACCCGGACGTAATGGGCCGGCGTTGAGGAAGAAGCTTCTTCCGTAGCTGCTCTTCAGAGAAGGGTCCTGCGTTTGCTGGAAAGTTCTCCATGCCTGGCCCTCCACATGCCTCCCCGTCTTCCCTCCACAAGCCATAGGGGTCCCATACCGTTCATCTGCATGTGGGACGCTCCACCGAACAGAACGACACCTGATTTAGGAGGCTGGACCCATGTCCCCCGAGCTCTGGAGGAGAGGCCGGAGGACACGGTAGCCTGCCGTGTTCCGAGCGGATTCCAGCTCTTGGGTGGGCCTGGGCGACATCATTGCTCTGCTGTCCCTCCCTCCTCCTGAGATCTGGGTCAAGGGGGCAGATGAAATTCCCCTAACCCCCCGTACCCTCCAGAGAGAGAGATGGTTTATCTCCTTTTGGGAGATCTCTGGGATCCGAGGGAGAAAGGGAGAGCAGGCTAGTACCACTTGGCTGGAGAGGCGATAGGCCATTGTCCATCTTGTTCTAAATGGAAGGCCTGGATGCCAGCCAGACCACTAACATATGTCGGAATCCCTCCCTGGAGACTGCGAACACTCGGCTGTCGTCTGCTCTGCCGCCCGATTCCTTCCAGACATGCTCCTGTCCTCCTCCAAAGAGCATGACCTCCATTTATCATTAGCAGTGAAATCATTGATAATGATTATCTTATTTATCGTGCATCTTCCTTGTGTTGTGCTCTGTTCCTATTCCGTTTACTTGTCAGCCCACCCCTCGGAGGCAGAAGTGAGGTGCGGAGAAGTGCGTGTTATTATGATCCCATTTTTCTGGTGAAAAAACTGAGAACTCACATCTACAGAGCTGGGATTCCGATCCACCTGCTGGCTCTCGAGGCTAGATGGATGCCCTGTGTCTCCCTGCTCTGCACCGTGAGCCCTCTGGAATGAGCCGTCCCAGGAACGGGGACTCCGAGGCTGGGCTTTTTGGGTCCTGGATCACAGTAGGTCCTGGAAGGGGGGCAGGAGTGGTGCGCACGCGTTTAGCAGTCTGAGAGCCTCACAGCAGTAGGAGGTGTTAGGAGCTTCCAGTCAGGACCTGTAATATTAGGAAGGGCAAATGGGGCCACACGGGAAAGGAGGGGAGACCTGGCAAGTCTCCGGCTGCCTGGTCCAGGACATCATCTCCCAGCCTGCTGGGCATTCACTGGGGAGTGCAGGGATGGCCCTGGATTACCAGCGCCAGTCCCAGGACAGGCACCGTGCTCTCTGCCAGCTGTCACCCCCTCTGCCATGTCCTGGTACCTGCCCTTTGAGCATCCCTAGAGCAGGCCCTAGGTGGGCTGGGATGCCCTGATGGGACAACTAAGGGGCTGTGCTCAGAGGGCCAAAGGGAGCAGTTCTGTAGTGGCCTGCCCTACCTCTCCCACCCCATCCATCATTCAGTGACAGGGACAAGGAACAGGCTGGCTGAGCTGAGAGCTGGGAGCCCAGAGGAATGGAGCTCATAATCTCCAAGTGAAAAAGGAGCCTCTCCGAGAAACCCAGGTCATCAGCATCAAGCAGCAGTCAGATGTCTCCAGAAAGTCACTTCT